GTATGGTACAACACATGCATTACACCGGACATCTACCTACTTTACTGGATGAAGACCCTTACCCTAACCCCTCGAAATAATCGTAATAAATAGAATACATTGACTGAAGCGGTACAGAAACAGCTGACGTGTACAGTGTAATGCAACAACATTCTTACCGCTACGAAAATAAAATATACTAATTAACTCCATTTCTGTGAGATGATGCAAATTACTGAATGAAAAAAAATATTATATATATGTTTAATAGTTCCCATTTATAATTCATTTTGTCCTAAAAGTTACATTGAAACCAAAATATAGAATATATTTAAAATAAAAGTGCTTCCATAAACTGGCGCTTGCTATAAATGCACCGCTGCAGTCCATATTTAACTCCCTACATAGCTTGGCTTGTGTGAGAATATGAGCATGTTTGGTCACTGGCCAAGATGGCAGATATATATAATACAACTATTTATTCTATCGGAAGTTGTTCCCTTTGTCAATGATCTAGGGAACTAACTCTGGGACAGCCGCATTGATAGTAATTCACTTGTCAACGGTCTAAGGGAAATAACTCTGCCCCCTGATTGGCTGGAGAGCGTCCCTGCCATGTTCACTTTTGGAAGAATAAAACAGTGACCATTGTATTGACATTTTCCTCCTATATTGCGGGTCCCACTTACACAATGACAATGCGTATATTGTCAACAGGACACTGAGAGGAGCTTTAGCCTGCACACATGATAACCGCACAGCAGTCTGACATCAAACAGCATTGTTTTTGGTAACTTTTCGCAAATTACATCATAAGGTCTTGTGATATAATTTGTAAAGTTTGTGATGCTGAATTCTAAAGGTAGGCCGGCAATTTCTTTAAGGTGAAGGTCGGTTGAACAACTACATTTTGCAGAATTCAATATCATACCATATCATATCATGCATGGACATAAGCAATTCCTTTGAGGGTTTGTTTGTTTGAACTGTATTTACATTAGAAATTGACACATTCAGTATAGTACATAACATAACATAACATAATGAAATGTAGCTATAACTGCAACATGTACTTTTGTTCCTATTATGAGCAATATTCAACATTGTAATTTCATATAAACAAGTTAATGACCAGGACCCGGTTGTATGAAACTTTAATGAAGCATTAAGGTGCCATTAAACATTCATGAACTAATGTATCGTTAAATTCTGTTGTACTAACGTTTCAAAGACGGTGTGTCGTCATTAGCACGTCATTAACTTAATGAAGGTTCTGGGGTATCATTAGAGCGTCATTAACTTCCTGGAAAAGTGTATGTTGCGCCAGAATTTTGTTTGCGCAGCATTGGATCTACCTACACCTGTAAAATTACACAGAAATGTAGAATATTAAATTGCCTATATCATAGTGTAAACTCAAGTGCAAATACTTAGGCTGTTTGAAAAATAGACACTGCTATACGTTATCCCGAATTTTGCTATGAGTTAAAAACAGTAAATGTCTCCGCTGTTTATCGTGCACTGATAAAAGTACTGTGCTACTATATTTTTAATTTGGCATCTTTACGGAAAGTGTGAACGAACAAAATACTGTCTGATATCTGAACGACATAAGTATGTATTAATTTGGTTTGTGTGCTTATGTATAACGTTTTACACTCAATCTTAAAAAATGACTCGCAATATGTGTTGAAAATGGATTTTCCTCTATGACGTCAAATGACTACAAAAGTTCATATGCTTATTTAAAGATAAGGGGGCATCACTCTGCTATGCTTAACAATTAGTCATTGTAACTCAGATCACTTTGAGAGAATTTGCTGTGGATAAGGACACTACCGGTATATTTCTGTGATGTTTTGTTCACGGTATTATCGAAAACAATGATAGTGAAAACAGTTGTGACAAAAGAGCACCTGGCAAATGATTTTACGTCATTGTTTTGTTTATAAAACAACATAAACAAATTCATTGAACAAGACAATTCCTTTAAGAATTTATGCATATACGTTTTATGAAATGAATAAATCATTGTTATCTATTTTGTCAGTTTCACTTAGGTTTAAAATACTAAATGCTGATAATGAAATTAGTTTCATGAAACATATCTGAACAATACACAAATTATACATTAATACTAAAAGTGTAATCCGCAGGACAGTGTGATTGTGTTTACTCTTATTCAACCGACCTTCACCTCAAAGAAACTGCCAAATATGTACAACAATGTTGACGTATGACATCACTACTGATGACCAATTTATCATGATCTCATGAAATGGCGGCTTCGTGGATAGACCTATGGGTGCCCAGGATTTTGTGAGGGTACCTTCGTCCATAACTGTATGATGTAATTAATCAGAAACATTCTGACTATCTACGTATGGTTATTTGTTTTTATTGCTTTCATTGAAAAAGCCAGAAATGCTGATAATAGCCTATGTCGTTCTCCGTGATTTTGTGTCTGGCATGGCGTCACGCTGCACAGAACTTTCGTATGAATATATCAAATTACTGTATTGTATCCGTTTTTAATTTTCTAGTTCTTGCTACGATACTCTTTCCGTGCATATTCTAAAACTATTGAGCTCATGCATGCTACAAGTAGACAAATTGATGTCTATAAAATTGAAAAATGCTGCACAGTATAAAATCTGATTTTTGCTTTGTTTACATTTCTAGCAAGCGCTGTGTTATGAGCACAACGTTTCGTTTTCACACCCAATATATTTCGTTTGTGTCTAGACACTTGGTGTTAGTGATACAGACCATTTGTAAGTCGATTCTACAATGTATGAGGAATTCACGGATGCATTTGTCACAACTGAATATCAAATATACGTGTCCTATGACCCGCCTTGGCAAACTTGATTTTGTAAACACTATTCAATATGGCGGAAAGCTCACTTCGGCGATCGTGTTTGTGTATTTTCAAAAACATCCCAACCGATTCTAGGTTTATCGGCGACGTTCAAACATATTTAAAAAAATAATTGTGATTTCCAGTAATTTGTAATAGTGTCTACTTACAAAATGTACATCCCATTACAATGTGGATCTTTGTATTGGAATAGTTTGGTTCAAGCCATTTTTATGGTTATAATCCATTTGATATATACTTATGTCGTTCAGATATCAATCAGGTGGTATTTTGTGTTCTCACACTTTCCCTAAAGATGCCAAATACAATAATTCATTGTACAGTGCTTTATGAGTGTACGACAAAAACAGGAGACGTGCTGTTTGAACCCATATCAAAACTCTTTTTTTCAGACCGCCTTAGTATTTGCACTTGAATTTACACTATTGGATAGGAAATGTAATATTCTACATTTCACTTTAATTTTATAGATGTAGGTAGATCCAGTGCAGCGCGAGCGCAATTCTGGCACAACATTCACTTTTCAGATCTTTACTGGCTACTGAACAGTTATCGCCATATTTTAGCGGTATTTTCAAAATTACTCCGCAGTTCATTAAAGTAATGAAACAGAATTAATTATGATACTTAATTAGCTATTCACCAGTGTGTCTAGGCCTTTCACTGCCACTGATCGTTTTTTTTAATAACGCTGCAGAAGGGAATCATGGCAGCATAAATAGATGTTTTCTCACAACTAACTGTAACAGTTATCGCCATTTCAGAATTTCTCATGTCATTCGTGAAATAATATTTATCATCCAAAACTGTGTTCCACAGTAGATATCGCTTGTGTGAGATCAGACGATATCTCCTAGGAGATATCGTTTTGACAGTAGCTTTTCTACAATGCCCTGACAATGCTCTGTCATGAACTTGTTGACGTCACAATGTTATGACATCGCTGTTACTTTATCAACTCGTGGTGATATATTTGATATCATAAGACACTCGGGTGAGATTCTCTATTTATCATCCAAAACTGTGTTCCACAGGAGATATTGCTTGTGTGAGATCATACGATATCTCCTAGGAGATATCATTTTGACTGTAGATTTTGTACAATGCCCTGACAATGCTATGATGTCAGGAACTTGATGACGCCACAATGCTGACATCGCTGCACTGCAAGTCTAATGGTAGTACAGTCTTCAGAGATGTACATTTTTCATTGAAAACTAATGAAGAATGATTTATGATGATAAATAGAATCTCACCCTCATGTCTTCTGATATGTCGTCACGATATGGCTGAAATATTGCCGATGTGACATTAAATATTAACTCACTCACTCACTCTGATATCAAATATATCAACACCCGTTGATAAAAGTAAAAATATCCTCAGCAAGCCTCGGATATTTGTAACTTTATCAACTCGTGGAATTCATATCATAAAGTAACCTTGAATAATTGATTGTGTGACTAGTTGTGTGGTTTTTTTAACAGTAGTTTGATAGGGAATGAAACAATTAATGACTTCCGTGAACTTGAACTTGCTATTATATAGATCATGTGACATCCCCCAAACTAATTTTTTTTATAGGGTTCATAACTTTATCTTTACTTTTTCTCTAATGTTACTTACAGTGAATAATTTTCTTTTGCTGTTTGTTATTGTTGTCAAATGGATCTACTGTAGGAAAAAACACTGGATTTGTTATTGAGCGGAACTGCGCACGAGTGATACTGATGTTATTGGCGATAACTGTTACGCGGCGCTATCTGTTCGGCAACTAGTAGAGAATGTACGTCAGAAAACCACAATTCGGTAACCAAGGGAGGTCATGTTTACCGTGAGCTTGCTTGAAAATTTGATGCAGTTATCATCATATTTTAAACCAGACACACTTATTAGAGACGATTTCATTCATGAATTCAAATGACACTGACAGGTAGAATCTAAACTTGTTATATCCACATCTTCATTAAACTTCACGACTAACCCACAGTCTGTAGTAAACCACGGTGTCGGAAAGCCCTAGCTAAATTGAGCCTTTGCTGAATGAGAGGACAGGTTTTTCTGTTTCGTGTTCTCGTGTATAAATACTCCAATTTCCACTACCATCTACATTTCAATTTGTCTGACATGGCATATTTACCCATTTAGACCAGTTCGACGTGGCAGATCTAGTTTGATTCGAACGATGGCGGATTCAGCTGCGACTGATCTTGTAATCTCGTATGTGAAGACAATGGCAACGTCGCATCTTGCTTTTTTGAAAGTATCGATATGAACGTGTTTTATTGTGAAATTTCATGTGATTTATAGTTTTATACATATTGATAATGTCTAATGAAAGGAACCGGATTAGTAAACAAGCATTAGCTTATATGAATACCGCTCCGGCATACAATGCAAGGATGAGTAAACAGGTCATGTGAATGATATATAAATGCTGCAAAATCGAGAAATAACGCCAATCATTGTTGAACAGTATTTGTCATACAAACAAATTATTTTGGATCAAATCTGCCTGTTAAATTTATAAACGAGTGCACTAAAAAAAAAGTTCTTTGTTTACTATTGAGGAACAGTTTCGAAACAAAATTGATTTTAGGTCAAACCCTTTAGTATAAAAAAAATGTATTGTTACTTCTACTTCAAAATAAACATAACAAGCAATTAAAACGTTTGGCACAATTTAATAAAATTCAAAAGGCTTGAAGATACATCATGAAACGTGTCAGCAAGCGGTGACTTACAAAATGTTACAATAATGTAATAATGTACCATATATCTCCCACACAGTACAATTAAGTAGATATTATGTAGTTTGCATATTGAAACTGACGGCTTGACAAGGAATTGCTTGATACATTGCATGACTCCACAAACCAGTAAAACTACTGGGAGGGAGAGAGGAGGGTAAACCACTCGTGTGCGACAGCGGTCTCCATGCTAGCAGTAAACGCGGTGTTACGTAATTCCCTCTACACCAAGGAAGATAACTCTTCACGTCACAGTCAAAATGCCTCAAAAGTCATGGACAGGTCGAAGGGAGGCAACTCTTTACGTACTGTTAAAATCAGTTTTACTCAAACCTAAAACTATACTTTGACGTACATATCGATGTAAAGAGTACATGGAAAGAAATAATGAGCAGATTTTCATAGTTATGGCCACAAGAGCAAGATGATGTTGGAGATATAAATCTTTCATATTTGTGCGCATTGAGGTCACTACTTTCAAGTCGGAGACGAGAATGTATGATTTGACAAAATCTGCTACCGAAATTTAAGTCAAAATGACTGTAGATATGAGAATCGTTTAAAATTACATTTTTGAATCTCGATAGGCACGGTGATTCTCTATGTTCGGCCGGTAATGAATTTCATAACTTAACAGTATCAGGAAGAAAGGACCTCGCATAATTTACAGTTTATAGTCTGAAGATTTGAATCACTGCGCAGATTATTACCAACGACATCTGCTACCCTAAGCGGTACACGGTTACTAAGATAACTTGGCGTAGTGCTATTGTCCATTTTGTAAAACATAGTCATTTTATGAAAGTATCTTCTACGACACAACGGGTGACAGTTCGTTTCTTTGTATATTTTATGATGGCTGGTGCCACGAACAGCACCACACACGGTTCTTAGAGCATCAAGATTGAGCTTCTCAAGTATATCTGCTTGCTGTTTAGTACAATTATCCCATATAGGACTGCAATAATCAAAAACTGGTAATGTGAACTGTTTGTACATGGTTTCTAATGTTTTCGGTTTTAAACGATATTTGAGACTTCTTAGACAATTCACCATTGGTGCAACTTTTTTTTAAGCACAGTCGTTAAAGTGTTCTGCATTGGAGTTGGATGCAATTTACGAGTAAAGCGTATTGACTCTGTCTTAAAGGGATACTTGCCATTTTTCTGCCCATTCAGCAATTGGCTGTAAATCATCGTTCATATCAATAGCATTTACCTGGGGATCATCAATTATCGCATATAAAGAAGTATCATCCGCAAAAAGGCGTATATTACTATTTATAGCTTCAACTATATCATTTATATCAACAATAAACAAGAGCGGCCCCAATACTGAACCCTGGGGTACTCCAGCAAGTACAGCTTTAGTATCAGATCTAAATCCATTAATTACGACACGTTGTTCTCTATTTTCAAGATAACTCTCAAACCATGTTAACAAATTACCCTTTGTACCATATCGTTTTCATTTATAAATGATACCGTTGTGCGGCGGAAAGGGAATCTAATAGATGTCAGCGTTCGAAATAGCTGCCCCACCGCCCGGGACGGGTTATTTTCGGAAAGACTTTCGCCCGTATCCCCTCTTAAATTTCATTCTAGTGAGAGAGTGAGTTTAGTTTTACGCCACACTCAGCAATATTCCAGCTATATGGCGGCGGTCTGTAAATAATCGAGTCTGGACCAGACAATCCAGTGATCAACAGCATGAGCATCGATCTGCGCAATTGGGAACCGATGTCATGTGTCATGTGTAAGACTTCCGCCCGTATCCCCCCTAACTTTTAACAACGAGGAAAAAGATATCTATATATTCAGGTAATATTTATTAATGATAACGATGATTTAAAGCGAATTGCCGAATGGCAAGTATCTTTTAATCCCAATAAGACAGAGTCAATACGCTTTACTCGTAAATTGCAACCAACTCCAATGCAGAACCTAACATGAATCGTAATGTCATTAATTCCAGATAAGTCATAAACATTTAGGTCTTATACTTCAGCATGATTGCCCATGGAATGAACACATTAACGACTGTGCTAAAAAACGTTGCACCAATGGTGAATTGTCTAAGAAGTCTCAAATATTGTTTGGGACTCAACCCAACAAAAGTACTAGAATCTGTACTTTACAAAGAAAGTGTAATCCCAAATATAACATATGTTACATTTGACCACTTTCTAAATGGCATTGTGTATTTTCATGGCATTGTGTATTTTCATCGTTTAAACCGAAAAACATTAGAAACCATGTACAAACAGTTCACATTACCAGTTTTTGATTATTGCAGTCATATATAGGATAATTGTACTAAACAGCAAGCAGATATACTTGAGAAGCTCAATCTTGATGCTCTAAGAACCGTATGTGGTGCTGTTCGTGGCACCAGCCATCATAAAATATACAAAGAAACGAATTGTTACCCGTTGTGTCGTAGGAGGTACCTTCATAAAATGACTATGTTTTACAAAATGGTTAATAACAATACCCAACTTACCTTAGTAACCTTGTTCCGCCTAGAGTATCAAATATCGTTGGTTATAATCTGCGCAGTGATTCAAATCTTCAGACTGTAAATCTGTAAATTATGCGAGGTCCTTTCTTCCTGATACTGTTAAATTATGGAATTCATTACCAGCTGAACACAGAGAATCACCGTGCCTATCGAGATTCAAAAATGTAATTTTAAACGATTCTCATATCTACAGTCATTTTGACTTAAATTTCGGTAGCAGATTTTGTCAAATCATACATTCTCGTCTCCGACTTGAATGTAGTGACCTCAATGCGCACAAATATGAAAGATTTATATCTCCAACATCATCTTGCTCTTGTGGCTACAACTATGAAGACTCTGCTCATTATTTCTTCTCATGTACTCTTTACAACGATATACGTCAATTTGTGTATTTTTTTCTAAAGGATTTGACCTAATATCAATTTTGGGAAAGATTTCCGCCCGTAACACCCGTATTGTTTAAAATCATTATATGCCTAAGAATATACGCCTAGGTTTTTTTTATAAACAGCCTATGCCTAACTCTAGCTCTAACTCTAACCCTAACCCTAACTCTAACTCTAACTCTAACTCTAACTCTAACTCTAACTCTAACTCTAACTCTAACTCTAACTCTAACTCTAACTCTAACTCTAACTCTAACTCTAACTCTAACTCTAACTCTAAATCTAACCCTAAACCCTCGAAATAATCCTAATAAATAGAATACATTTCAAGCGGAGGTTACGGGCGGAACGCTTACCGACAAAGCAGCCAAATTATCAAAGCATAAACACAATATCTGTACACATCACACGAATATGTACAAACTACGAAAGTACTGAAAGAGACTAACCTTTAGAAATGATCCCAATAGCTCCGCAATAAATGTCATAATCCAAACATATGTCATTCAATATCAGCAGGTGCTTTCATGGCAAGCTGACAGTAGAAATGTCCTGAACTGTACTTAAACTCAAAACTTTAATAAGCTAACAAGGTTTAAGACAAAGGGACAGTAAGTGGCAGGCTTGGGCAGGCTATTGTGTTGTAAGTGCGCGAGGTGATTGTGGCTGAGGCAGAAAACTCATGTAGTAAGCTGAGAGAGATTTAGAAAAGCTGAAGAGTGAATTATGTAATGTTTAAATTATACTAAACTGAATATTGAATTTGGTTAAAACTAAAGAATAAAGACTCTTAATATATCCTGTCAGATTTCAAAACACTGAATTACGTAAAAACGAGGTTGCCAATAATACTCGTATATAGCTGCAAAACTGATTACAGGATAATTCTAATAACAATTTCTGCACTTCTATAAACTATCAAAAATACATATGGGAAATACCCAAGAGATACATGTATGTCACGATGCCTAATTATTTCCAATCTTGTATAACTTATAACTTTTGCAACTGAAATACAAATCTTCGTGATGGCCATCACAATATGCATATAGTGTAAACATATTTTATTCAAAATAAATTGAACTAGGATTGGTAAACAAGCCGTAATGGCTTATTTGAATACCTCTCCATTTCGTTGATACATGAGTAAACCAAATATTAAATAGTATGCAGCATGATAGGAAAGCAAGCAACCTGCGTATTGAACATCATTAATCATTTATCAAATCTAAGCGACTTTATAATAAAAGTATGGACAAATTTTAGTATAAACGAATTTACAAGTTTATTTTAGTTTGGATTACAATTTAGGACAGAATTTATATTATATCCATGTTCGTAAAAATACATGCGATGTCTGATGTTGGAATAATTAGGACAAGTAAAGAAGTAATGTAAAGTATCCTTATAGTGACCGGTGTCTGCACAGGACGTCGACCCTTGGGTGAAATGTCACGGTTCAGTTAAGAAAAAAGGTCGACTTCTTGTCCATAAACCTAGTGACCACAGGAACAGAATGGATCAACTGAAATGTGCCGTTCAAACATGTGCGCTTTCAC